GGAACTAAAAAGCTGAAAGTTTAAATACCAAAATCATATATATATATATATATATTATATATATATATATATATATCATCATCATAAAAGTATTACCATTTGACCCTTCCACTAAATACAAATAGGGAAAAGACATAAATTTCTCCCGAACTTATATCGAAAAGTTACTTAAACGTTTAAACTATTATGATGACCTATTACACACTTTTACTATTCAAAAGTGAATTTAATACCACCCTGAGAGGTGTAACACCACTCTCACAGGGTGTGGTGTAATACACTCGCCGCCACATCAGCGCTACGTCAGCGCCATGTCAGAAATTATGAATTTTTATTAAAAAATTTGTTTTCTTTTCTTTATTAAACTTTTCTTTTGTTAACAATATTTTACACTAATTAATCTACAATTAATTATTAAAATTCTCTAATAATTATACCTTCTTCATCACAAAATCTCACCCGCTCCATCTCTTATCTCATGGAAAAAATCATATCCGGCTACCTTATTCACTATTGATTCTTTGTTCTTCACCACCGCCATATCACCTTCAATTCTTCTTCTTCTTCTTTGCCATCCACCACTAAATATCACAATCACCATTTCTAATATAATTTTTTTCTTCTTCACCATCTTCAATTTCTACTTTTTTTTTTCTAAAATCGTTACCTAGCGCCACCACACTCATAAAGTTGTCTATCTTCACCAAATTCAAAAAATTGATTAATCTTCTTCACCACTTTCAATTTCCTCTTCTTTTTTTCACCCATTACCTAGAACCCACCATACCCATAAAGCTACAATTAGAACCAAACCCAAAATTGATTAACAATCAAAATTTCTTTAACAAAGTCAAAAAATAGAAAAGATAGAAACAATCAACCAAAATCTCCTAAACATAACTTAAGTATTTATATATTTAGGTTTATCCGAAATTCTTTTTAGATTCTTCCTTTAGTAAAAATTATCACAAAATACAATTATTCACTAACAAATCTATGAGAATTAACCTAGTTGCTAATCAAAAAGAAAAGTTATGATTTGAGATTGTGATGTATAAAAATGAAGAAGATGAGATGTGAAAAAGAAGAATAGGTGTGAAGAAGAAGAGGTGTGGGGTGGAGGAGGGTGGGGGGTTAAAAGCTGATTCTAATTATTATTATTTTATTTTTTTTATTTCTAACTAACGTGTTTAGTTTTTATTTTCATTTTATTTCTTTGTCACGTCAGTTTTAAGGGGTAAATAAATTCACTTTTGAATAGTAAATGTGTGTAATAGATCATCATGATAGTTTAAGTGTGTAAGTGACTTTTCGATACAAGTTCAAGGTGGAATCTATGTCTTTTCTCTATAAATTATTGTGGTATGGATTTCTACTTCACCAAGAAGTTACTATGACTAATTATTTCCATTACCTCCTCCTCCATTATGAAGATAGCCTCCACCTTTACGATCATTATTCTTGTAACCTTTCACCTCCATAACCTCCTCCATTATATTCATGTT